TAGGCTCAACCCGAAAACATTTTGTCCTCAAAAGGCGCCGAGTCAAGTCGAGAGCATTTTGTCTCCTCCATACCCTTTCCGACCTAGCCTCGCGTCATAATAAGCGTTAATTCTTGTGTACTTGATAGAATTTGCTTCTTTGCGAAGGTGGCAGTTTAGCGGCGTTGTTGAAATCCTCTCGAAACGACTCGGGTCTTGGCACGTTTGTTTCGCTTCGATACTGGTACACTTGATGGGTACGGCCGTCTTGTCCGGTAACGTTTGCTAGCCTGGCAAAAAAATGTATTTTTTGAGAAATCAGATGAGACTGAAATTAATTCTGGGACGGCTTATTGCCACTGATGTACAAAAACTAAAACCTTGCTATCTCGCCAACCCCTGGAATGCCATCTCTCATATTTATCTTATTTTTAGGATGTCCTCGGTTGAGAAACCACGTACTAATCCCTCTCTGAAGCCGTCGGATCAGATAAACCATGATTATAACATCATGTGTGTGTCATATTAATAGTCACCAACCTGTTTTCATTCCAGAATCGAAACTCTTTAAGAAGAGCTGGTAGAATTGACTTTAAGAATTGTACATCTTTGGTTTGTTCGAAGTACTCGTAGACGATCGGTATGAACATTGGTGGCTGGGAACGTCCCAGATAGTAGACTCGGCCACCGTTCGGAATGAATCCATACCTGAATTTTCAATTTTTTCTTCCAATTTTATCCGCCATTAAGTTAGGGTAATATTTTTGATTGCCTAATCGAAATTTGTCAAGTGTGGCTGGTGGTGATATTCACAATTCTCGAACTTCTTAAACAATTAAAGGGCATCACAATATGACACTCGATTCCAGTCCCCCCCCCAGGCCCATTTCGCATGCTTTCGGGTTGATTTGGATGGGTGCGCGGTTCAGTTGATCTAGCGATCTAACGAATCCACTCATCATATTGTAGCTAAAGAATCTGAAGGGGGCCTGTGAGCCCCAGCCTACTCATTCAGGTTGGGGGCAGTGGTGATATGGTATAGAAGTTTTCGCTAGTACAGTTTATCAGTTGTCAAAATAGTTTCACTCACCTGTCAACAATACTTTCGAAGTTGCGTATCATCGATTTGACCGTGTTGAGCATACCGGATGCCACTAGACCTTTTACAGTCCAATACGTGTCCCAATAGTAATACTCTCGGAATCGTCCACCCGGTACAATGAATTCATTCGGAACGTAAATCAACGAATGACGATCATCACCATCCACTTCTTTTTTCATCTTGAATTTTTCAGCTCAAAGACAAATCCCACACAAATCCCAACTGGCAACTGATTTGACCGGCAAAAATGTAGTGCATTGTTAAAAGGATTCAAGTAAGTAAGTAAATCGTTAGTGGATTTTTTTTTTGGGGGGGAGGGGAGGAGTATAGAGGCTAGTCACCCGGGATTGGAAACGAGGAACCGGACGGTCAAGAAAGGAGTCTACTGCATCGCTGTAGACGAGTCATCATCTCGTTCGTATAATCATTTGTTCAGTAATCGAAAATCAACTTCCTCTCGAAATCATCAGGAGTAAGAGAGATCAGCCTTACATCTATATTATTGTAAAATCAGTGATTTTCCATGCGAGGAGGGATGATTCCTTGCTTTGATATTGTTCTATATGCAGAAAAAGGTGCCCGGTCAATCTGCCTAAAGACATTTCGCTTAATGACAATTTGCCTAAAGACACATTGCCTAACGGACAGTTTGTCTAACGGACGGTTTTTAATGGATATTTCGCCTGATAGGCAAACTGTTCTTTGGGCAAACTGTCCGTTAAGCAAATTTTCCGTTAGGCAAATTGTCCGTTAGGCAAACTGTCCGTTAAGCAAACTGTCCGTTAGGCAAATTGTCCGTTAGGCAAACTGTCCGTTAAGCAAGCTGTCCGTTAAGCAAACTGTCCGTTAGGCAAACTGTCCGTTAGGCAAATTGTCCGTCAGGCCAACTGTCCGTTAAGCAAACTGTCCGTCAGGCAATGTATCTTTAGGCAAATTGTCGTCAGGCAAAATATCTTTAGGCAGGCTGACCGGTCACGGCAGAAAAAGGATTGCGATAGCAACTAGGTTAGTGATAATAAACACGTTAGGTGAGTATCATTATAATTACTGATTGATACAATAATCTGAAATCAAGCAAACTGCAATGAGCATGTTACTATATTAGTACCATGAGCAGGAAATCATTGAATTAGTCAATGATAGATAACGTAGACAACTGATATCAATGATAGATCATGATAGACAACTGATAATGCGATCAGATCATGCTTGCTTACCTTTCTGCACAGCTGCAACCACATTTCATTTAGTCTCATTGCCCAGTTCCTCAAGTCCACATCGTTGATCCTGATCAATTTGATTGGTTCATGATGCCAGTCACTCGGCTCACACGTCTCCAATTCACTTCCCGGTTCAGTGAAATGCTCCAAGAGAAATTTGCGCAGTTTCCTAGCGTCAATCTCGTCAACGCTCTCATTACCGAAACGTCTGATGAACTCTCGATGAGTATTCTCTGAATTTGCTACTTTTATTATTTGCTTTAGTGGCGCATCTAATGAGCAGACGATAGTAACGATAGTGTATAATCCCGAATATACCCCCATCTTGGTTGCTCTAAAATTGAAGTACCCTTAAATTTTTAAATTTTTTCGCCGCTCCGTACCGATTCCCAACTTGTACATTCGGTTGCACTCTCGCTTCAGTTCACTCCTCACCATGGAATTTTTTTCACCACCCCATTTCACCCTCCTTAGCAGGTTTTGCATTCGTGACGATGAATACTTAGACTAATACAGTTAATTTTTTAGCTGTTCTAGAAGCAGTATGTTTGAAGATTTGCGATAAAATGATTATAAATTGATAATATAAAAATGAGTCTGATATCTTTTTGCCTTAGCAATATCCATCCATCCATCCATATATTATTATGTAATCAGTCATATCTTATTCATTGTTTTATATTATCATTATCATATAATCTAATATAATGTCACTCTTACGTGGACTGAACCGCATCGGCATATCGACGAAGGTCTTTGAGTCAGCGTAGATACTGTGCCTGTTGACAGCCTCGAGCAGTTTTCCGTGACAGTATATGAAGCTGCAAGAAGGTCGAAATAGTAAGAGTAATTATAGTAGTAATAATAACAATAATATTAATTATAGTAATAATAATAATGTAGATAATGGATTAATTAATTGATGAAATAAATTAATATTTAACAGCAATTAGAGCGGGGTTATTATATTGTTCTGTTGTGGATATTAGTTGGTTTCAATTCAGCTGAATTGATGCCCACGTTAGCTCAGTCGGTTAGAGCCTCCATCTTCTGGTGGATGGGCTGGAGGCGAGGTGGAGGGTTCGAGTCCTGCCGGTGGTTTGGCATTTCTTTTTAGTGTTGCTTTCTCTTGACACGTCTGGATTGTGTTTTATTTTCTGTTATGGAAATCTGGGAAGGTGGGAAATCAGACCGATGAGATTGTTGTGAAAAATTTTTTGAGAGATAGCTAAAAACTAACGAATTATTCGAATTCGTGTGATCACAAACGTGGACAGTGCGACGTTTAGTATTGTTGAGCGCTGAATATTCCACTGGTAAAATATCCACCAGAATGGTTGTCTCTATTGAGATGGAGTTATTCTGCGGTATTTCATTGAAATACTCTCTTGTTGAGGAGGCATATTCGAGTGGAATTGCCATTACAACACTATCATTAGATCGGCTCTTGAAAGGTGAATGACCCAACATGATCAGTGTGATGATGCTGAGGAAAGCTGCTGGATTGCGCATGCTGAAATTGTTTATGTTGTATTCTGAAAAGTTTTTGGAAGATTTGACTGAAGAGAGAGGTTCGAGGCAAACGTGAAATTTGAAAAAATTTTTTGGAAATCTTTAAATGCTAAACATTTTGGGCCTATTGTCACATATTGCCTGTTGAGTTTGAGGAGTGGGACTCAAAATGAGACCGACCGGAAATACACTGCGTTAGATCGATTGAACATGCAGTTAATGATTCTCGAAACTGTTATTAATTTAGCAACGAATAATCAACGAAGAAATATTTAGGAATTGGAGAGCAACGGATTAGAATTCGGGATTGATCTCGTGGTGGTCATATAAAATGGATAAGGGTCGATTGCGCAGTATGCAGTTGAAGAATAGATTCGGATAGTGCGATGGGCAGTGAGATCGTTTGGATTTTTTTTTTCTGATGTAATTTCATTTTGACTGTTATCAAAATAATGCCCTCTCCTTAATGATTCGTGGAGATTCTTGGCGGAAAAAATACATTTTCGTTTACGAAAAAAAAATTTTTGAGAAATTTCATTCCAAAAAGTTATTTATAAAAAAATTGTGAAAAAAATTCCATAGCAGTAATATGTGAGGGTTAGAATGTAATCGACGATCGAGTGCTCTCGAACCAACTAATTGCTTACCATTATATAGAGGCTTGCTTGCTTGCAGCCATCAGTCCATCTGACTGCATTTAAGCGGCGATCCATTTGGGGATTATGCGGAATGATATTAATAACAATAACAATAGTTTTGTTATGATAGTAAATGTAATATAGTGCAAATTTATGCTAATGATAATAATAATAATAATCTGCAAACATTTTTCTCACCACCATCAAATACTCGATAATATCTATCAATGAAACTGCAAAATAGTGAATTTTTTTGATGCCTAAAGATTCTGAAAGGAATAA